ACACACACACACACACACACACACACACACACACACACACACACACACACACACACACACCCTTTGCAAGGGACGTTCACAGTTGAAAAGGAAGTTAGGCGGAAGAGGGAACGTGACACTGCCGAATTATCACAATTTCTATAAACGTTCTTTCTTTGGTCTATGGTCCAGGGATGTCTCTGGAGAAATGGCTTCAGAAGTCTAGAGGATCACGGATTTTAACGCACTACTTATTCAGCTGCCCCATGGTGGGCTTGGCGTAACGTACACAGCTATACGTCAAAACCACCAGCTGTGCTGAGAGCCGGCAACCCCGTGTAAACAGCTGCCCTAGAGGTCTGGGGAGAATCAGGCCCCAGGCTTTCAGCTAAGACACTGCTGACACTGGGGATTTCAGCCATAGATGCCCCGGTGCAAATGCCGAGTGTAGACAGGTAAAACCTCAATAGACTGGGATGAGCTTCACCAGCGCAAACCCCAGGCCTGCCTGCATTAGAGCCCCATCCTTGGGGGGGAGGGAGGGAGAGAGAGAAGAGAGGGAGTCAGGCAGGGGTGGGGAGAGAGAGCAGGAAGGGAGAATCCAACCCTCCCCGGAGCAAAGCAAGACATGGAATTCCTCCTCCCCCCACACCCCTCCCTGGCAAGCCCAGAGCAGCATCAGCTCCCCTGTCTCCACAGAAGCAGTGGCAGCAGCAAGGCTACCAGCTACAGAGCTGGGCCCCCCACCCCAAGCCCCCTGGGAATAGAAAAGGCAACAGTCATCAAGCACCTGCTTTTGGTAGGCACCTAGTGTCTGTTCATAGGATAGAACTGCTCTGCAGCACCCCCTGCTGGCCAAGCACAGCACTGCAGGCAGCACACCACTGCCTCAGTTTCCTTCCTTCAGAGTCCCCACTAACTCTACACACTCATGCTGGAGATGTGGCTTAACCCTCCAGCCAAGTCACAAACCAAGTTACCCTGGAAGGGGTTAACAAAAGCCAGCTAAACAAGTCCCAGTAAACAAAAAGGTTCTTCTGCCCCTAAGCCCTACCCCCCTGGCCCTGTTCCCAGCCCATTTCTGGGCTACCTCCGAGAGTCTTTCTGGCTGCAGGATAGAGACCCCAACCTGGCCCCCCTGGAGCACCATTCTCAGCCCCTGCTGGACCTTCTCTGTTCCAGTACAGGGCCCTGCACCCCAGGCTGGTCCCCCCCCCTGGAGTGCCCAGCCTCCTGCAGACCCTAGCTCAGAGCCTTCCACAGACCAAACCTGTCTGGCCACGCTCAGCCCTTTTATAAGGCCTAGGCATCTATTACGTTATCACCTGACCCTCTTAGTCCCACCCCCTCAGGCTGAGAAGCAGCTAATTAATTATGGCACAGATGGGGTGGTCCCATTTCCCTTTGAAGGGGCCAGTCAGCCTGTAACAGTCTACAATGCGGCCAACCCCACCCGTTCCAAAATCATGAGCCAGCTCCCCCCAAAATCACGAGATTGGCTTAAAGTCATGAGATTTTAAATTTGGGGCTTTGAGCTGCCCCAGTACACTCAGTTCATCATCTGAGGCTTTTCTCCCCCACCACAAAGGCTTGAGGCCTGCTTTTCTTTTTAAATGAAAGCTGAGGTTCTCTAAAAAAAATCACATGACTCCAGGAGCTGGGGCTTGAGGAGAAAGCAACAGATATCGTGAGACCATGATAGGTTGGCCATGCTGTGTGTGTCACAGCCTCCCGCAGGCTGCTGTAATTTGAGCCAGGGGATTTCAGTTTAGCAGCCAGCAGCCCCAAGATTAAAGGAAGCTGAAACTGCATGAAGGGTTTGGTCTATTGCCCTTACTTGGAACTTTCTTCTAGAGGTGGTCGAAAAACAAACATTTCTGCAAAAAGTTTAGAAATTTCAAAGTTGTTTCAATCCCTCCAAAATGGACCCATCTGTTCTCTTTCTTTGGGGGAATGCAGTGGTTTTTTTTTAACATTTCCCCCCAAAACATTTACAGCCAAGATTTTATTGAACTTTTCATAAAACATGTTATAGAAAAGATAGATAGGGGATATGTTTGGGCATGGCTGGATAAATGGATCTAGAAAGCGCCTATGGGGATGGATGGGTAAATAGCTCACACAGAGAGCGAACATGTGCTTTTCTCAGTTCCCCTTTGTGCCATGTGCTCGCACTGAGCTACAACTGACACCCCCAAACTGGGCACAATGTGGGGGTCTCCCCACCCCAGCCTGACAGTGAGTCTCCCATCGAGCACAGACAGGGGTGGGCTGGGGGGCATTATGGGAAAGCTGAATCATGCTCTCCATGCACAGGGAACAGATCTGGGATTAGATGTTCAGAACAGAGCTCAGCTCTCATTTAAGCACCAGATTTCCAAAAGCAGTGGGAGCGTAAAATAAGCCCTCTTCTTCCTCCCTCCTCTCCTAGAAATCCTGTGGGGTGTGGGCAGGCGACTGCTCCCCCCGACAGCTCCATCTACCCTAAGTGTTACCATTTGGATTGTTTCCTACAAATCAATCCCAACATTTGCCCATATTTCTTTCAAAAATGCCCTGGGAGCTACAGGCCAAGACTTTCCACTGGGACTGGTGATTTGGGGCCCCAGCTTTTGATGTGTGTCTCCAGCTGCTGGGCCCCCAGAATCACCAGTCACAGCTGGAAAATCAAAGGCCCCTGAGCTCTTTCCTGCTGTTGTGTGAAAACGAGCCCTGGGAAGGAATAAAGGCCATCACTTACCTGTCTCAGCCAGGCCCTGGGGAGCGTCTCCTGCATGTTATATCCCAAAGCAAGCAGCCTGGATTGCCACAAGTCTCAGTGCGCAGGAAACGGCTCACCCCAGCATGGTAAGGAAGCACACTCATCTCTGTACTACTATACTAACTGGGTATTTCTTCTGCATCATCCACCAATACAGCAGGCTCAGAGCAAACGGGCTCTTCCCATTGGCTGCCTGAGTTTTGAATCTCCCTCCAAACACATTTCCTGCAGCCTTCCCTTTCCTGGGTGGGTGCTTCTGGGGCTGGCAGGGTGAAATTCACCCGTGCTCGGATCCTCCCCTGGTGTAAATCAGTGTCGCTCCATTAGTCTGTCCCGAGAGCTTTTGTTCAGTCTTTGCTCTGGGGAGTGAATTACAGTGACAGTCTAGCCAGGAAGGTTTGACTATGATCTGAGATCCGCAGGGCCAAATGGAGCTAACCTCACATGTACGAGTAGATGCAGAAGCGGCTTTAGTGGCATGATGTCCTAGTGCTTTGGGGCAGGGAGTGGGGACCATCCTTTTATTGAGTTTGTACAGCACCTAACACAACAGGGGTCTGGGATATCCTTAGAGCACTCACCTAGGCTCTAGCAGAGCTGGGTTCAAATCCCCTCTCTGACAGACACAAAGCAGTGATTTGAATCCACATCTCCCAGATGGCAGCCCTAACTACAGGAGTTTTTTTCTCTCTCTCTTTGTCCCCCCACCCCCAGGGCTGGCTCCAGGGTTTTTGCCGCCCCAAGCGGGAAAAAAAAAAAAGCCGCAATCGCGATCTGCGGCGGCAATTCAGCAGAAGGTCCTTCGCTCCAAGTGGGAGTGAGGGACCGTCCGCCGAATTGCCGCCAAATAGCTGGATGTGCCGCCCCTCTCCAGAGTGGCTGCCCTAAGCACCTGCTTGGCAAGCTGGTGCCTGGAACCGGCCCTGCCCACCCCAATGCCTAAATTAAAGGGCCCTGATGTGCTGAGCTCCATTCAAAACAGTAGAATTGTCGTCCCGAACAAAGCATTTCCTGGGCCAGATCCTTGCTTCTGCCCCTCGCTCCTTTGCGACGCTGTAGCAGCATAAAAAAGGGGCAGAGATCAGCCCTAAAATGGCTGGTGGGGATTCCCTGATGTAGAGGAATCACCAGGTGACAGAAGGCCGACCTAGCTAGCTGTGCACCACCCACTCCTCTCCGAGAGTCAGGAACGTGGCTGGAGTTCATTGCACTCTGGTGATCCCTGGCCAGTGTCACGATCCACAGTGCCTGTTGTAGCTGGCGTAATTTAGAGCAGCCCACAGGCTGCTCTGAGTTATACCATGGCTGAACCGGTCCCCTGGACAGTCCCAGCAATGGGGAAGCTAAAAGCCTGCTTAGCTACCTTCCCTCCACTCCCGACTTCAACCCCAACCCTGCATCCTGGACCTAGAACAGTGAAGATCTGGCGTTTTCAGCCTCAGAGATAACCAAGACGCGCAACCACTTTAGTTCATTAACCCCTAACACTCTCAACCCCAGTAGAACAACAGCCCCCGTTAACCAAGCGTAGCTGCCAGGGCAGCTTTGTCGTTTTGTCCCATCTCTTTGATGGACACCCACGAGCTGGTTCTCAGAACCCGGCCGTTTCTGCTGTACCCCAGAACAGGCCTGTGACATCCTGTGGCGAG